GGTAGTGGGATGTACATCGCACGCCGTTCCCACATCGTATGCGTGTGTGCGTGGCAGCGGTAGTGGGGTGTACATCGCCGTCCCCACATCGTATGCGTGTGTGTGTGGCAGCGGTAGTGGGGTGTACATCGCCGTTCCCACATCGTATGCGTGTGTGCGTGGCAGCGGTAAGGAGAGAGGGCCTGGGGGAAGCCTTTCCCTAATTGACAGAGGGTTCGCCTTCGACGACGGATCGGAGACAATGGTTGATTTTTTTTTTTAGAACGTCGGCGGGGACAAGGGTTTAATTATATTTTTATTTAGAACGGCGACAGAGACAAGATTGATTACATTTTTATTTAGAACGTCGGCGGAAGAAGCACAAAAAGAGGAGAGAGTGATCGCGTCGTCATCGAGGGTATCATAATTGAATATTTGCATGCTTATCGCTATCGGATCGCTATAGGTCCCTTGGTGGTGTTCGCAGCAGCAGACGAAAGGGTGGTTGTCAAAGGGTTGAGACTGTTGAAGAATGAATTTAAAGCGTTCCTTATGCAATGCGCGCGTGTGTGTCGGTGTCTTGATAGCTCTGAGCTTTCGCGGAAGATTTATGGGACCAGCGCGGTTTGTTTGACTTGCTGGCAGCAGCTTGTAACGCCGTTCGCTACTGAGCGGCTTAACGTAAAGACATGCGTTTGTGCTTTACACACATCACATGCTGGTTAGGGTACACACGCACACGCGCACGCACGCACACACACACACACACACACACACACACACACACACACACACACACACACGCACACACGCACGCGCGCGCGCGCGTGTAGTCGCATTGTACATCAACATAAATTCGCAACGTTTCTCTACCGAAGTTGGGCGACTTCTGGTATAAAATGTCTTCTGCAAAGACACACAACCACTAAACTCATAGTGTTCCGTAAATTCGACTACTAACAGCGAAATCAATAGCAACTATTGATGGCAGCAAATAATCGATACGGCTCGATTCGTACTCTCTCCGTCTAAGTACGAGCTGCAAGTAAGTTGTTACGCGAAAATTTGATCCCATTTTTAATTAAAATCGTTAAAGAGGACCCACAATATCTATGTATATGCGATTATTTCTAATAATTTTGTGTATATGTTGGGTAAAAATGTCCATATTTTATGGAAATACCCCGCGCACTCACCCTGCTTTCATGCGTGATATCATATAATATGTTTTCATGTTTTGAAGGATGAGAAGAATCAGATCATGACCACAAACGTTTGGATTCGACAGGTAAGCTGCTGACGTCATCTGAGAAAAACGAAATAAGACGTGTTCTCGTTGTCTACTTTCCTTAGATATCACTTCCACACAAAAACCCTAAAAACATACGTCGGCATTTTACCAATATTTATTTCTGTTCATACTCAGTAATTGTTAAGTATAGCCTCATACCAGATTAGATATAATATATGGTAAACTATATTATGTGAAGCTATAATGACAATTTAGTAAGAGTTTTTTAAATAATAAGTAGGCCTAATAGTTAAGTATAGCCTCATACCAGATTAGATATATTACACGATAGATATGATGTTGAGCTAATGTCACTGGTTTAGATTTTGAATTGCGTAATGTTTTTATTTTTTTCGCTGATGCAGTATCGTCGAAGTTACGATATCACAGAAGCAATCAAAATCGACAATCAAAAATAAAAAAATTACCGCAATAACGGCAAACCAGCGATCGCATGTTCACTTGTTAGACCTACCCTCCGAGGGGCGGCTTTGCGACGAGAGGAAATTATTTCGCTGGCGGAATTGAATCGGCTCCCGTTGCAACCTTAATCAGCTTTCGGCCGCCATCTTAAGTCGCTCGCATTTAAACGCGAATCCGATTTCACGGCAAGCTACGTTCTACGATCGGCGAGCGCGGAAGGCAGCGGACGGATTAAGTGACTAACCTCCGACGGTCCGGTCTCCGGTCGCTGATGACGCCGGGATTTTGAGAACGAATTTGCGACGGCGAAAAACTCGAATCGACGACGAAACGTCCCTCCTTATCTGACCTCCTCATCTGACGACGACGATGACGACCCCCTCCTCCTCCTCTTTCTCTCCTCTCCCTCCTCCTCCTCTGCTATTATATTAGCCCGCTCCTTCGCATCGCTCCTCTTTATCTCCCCTCTGCCTCCTGCATCCCTGCCTCCTCCTCATCATCCATGATCCTCTCATCCGCTCGACCTCCTATCAGCCTCCTCCTCCTCCTCCTCGCTCGCTCCCCTCTTCACCTCCTCCTCCTTCTTACTCGTCTTCGTCGTCGTCCTCCTCCTCTCCTCCTTCCTGCCTCCTGCCTCCTCTCAATTTTACTCTTCGCCCTGTGTCGTCCTCCTCCTGCTCCTGCTCTCTCCATTCTCTCCTGGCTCCTGCTCTTTGCGCCTCCTCCTCCTCCTTTCCTCTTCGCTGCGTGCCTCCTCCCTTCTGGCCGTTCTCGCTCTCCTGCCTCCTCGGACGAAATCGCGAGATTAAGTCTGCGATCTGCGGACGGTATCGTCGCTCGCCGCCGTCGTTCGAAAACTACCCCTCCCCCTCCCTGAAATGAGATCCGGCTAAATTCGCCGAGAACAGACTCAGATTACTGGCGCCGCGCGGAGTTTAGGTGTCGCGTATCGTAATACAACCGATCGTTCGTATAGAATTGTTAGCCGAAGGACGTCGCCGAGCCGGTGCTGGAAGATTAATGACGCGAGCGGCAGAGAATCTGCGGCCGACGTGCCGGGGGCGGCGACGTTATTGACGGGCGATAATATGCGCTTTGAAGATGAGTCGAAAACGAGCAGGCAATTACATCGACCGGGACGATGCTTAACGTTTGCATAACTACTGACATAACTACGGACATAACAAGTAACATAACAAGTGACGTAACGTCCAGCTGTCACGATACGACAAGCCATAGTCGCTCAGTATATAATCATGTGTGGCTATCTGCTGTCTGGCGGTGCAGCGCGTCTGCTCGTGTCTAGCCCCGCCATACGTCATCCTCCATGCATGCACGCACGCACGCGTCTATTCGTAGAGCTGCGTGGTTCTTGCTGCGATGTGATGGAGCGATGTGTCTTCGTGCTGTTGTTTACTTTACGTGGGCTGTCAATGCAGCGGGCGAAATGTTCCGCGCACGGCAGAGTGATCTGTTTGTATATATATATATATGTATACTATAATACATGCAGACAGCAACATTGCACACAGGCGCGCGCGCACACGAACACGCACACATACACACGCTACCCAGCCACACACCGCACACACACACCGGGCACATCACACATGCGGAAACACACAGCACAGTCACAGCACACACACAGCAACATATATATATATATATATATACTATATATATAGATATCATTATCATGTTTATTCGGTCGTTTGGTAATAGGCACCCTCTATATCCGCTCCTCACTTATTCGAGATTGTCCCGGGAAAGTTTGTCGAGGCCTAAGAGATGTCATGCCTGCTCGATTAACGATTTCGTTTTGCAGAGAATGGTACGACTACAAGAGTTGGCGGTGGGAGGCGAACGCAATAATGGGCGGCGTTAACTGCTTCTCTACGTGCCCTCCAGCAGCAAATATGGCTGCCGGACATAGTACTCTATAACAAGTAAGCCCGCACGTACGCACTGCGCACTGCGTTAGGAAATATTGGAGCTTACGTCTAGTGGCGGTTGCTATATCCCCTCGTTATCATCAAGTCACTTGACGGAGTCATTCATCTTGCGTGTAGTGTAGTGCCTGCGCTGATTGCATGTTTGCCGATTCCGTTTGCTGCCTGCTTAGCCTGTCCACAAATCTGTCCCTGACTGCCTCGCCGGCCTACCTGACGTGACTTGACCGAGGTAACTGCTGCCTGCGTGTCTGCTGCCTGGCCTGCTGCCGGCCTGCCTGTCTGCCACTGAGCTGCCTGCCCTGCTGCGCTGCCTGCCTGCCTGCGCACTGGATTGTCCTGTTTTGGCGTGTGCGAGTGTGCACGACTGACAATCTCAAATTCTTGTATGGTCGTGGCGTGACCCATATATATATAGTGTGAGGTAGATAGATAGATAGATATATTTATTAGTTATAGTAGTATATCGTGATAATATAGTGGTGTGAGATAAAAGCATTATATTACATTAGAGCAGGCTCAATTTTCTCTTTCGCTGTGCAGGGCGCAGCATGCTATATATACAAGTATAAAGTGTTCTTTTGTGTAGAATTGTGCATCGGTTAAATTGGTACCGTGTGACGGTTGATGGTACTACAAACGTTTAGCTGTTCAATTGTTGTTTTGGTACAGAATCGCTAGTGCTGATGGCCATTACCAAAGGTGAACGTTGAGTGACTTAAGGCCGCACGCTCGTAACCTCGCGATGGGCATACGTCGTGTGGGAGCCTCCTGCGATCTAGCAACGATTCATGCACGATAGAACGTCGATGTTTTACCCGTTTGACGAGCAAACGTGGCGCAATGGAATTGCGGCTGACGTGGACGTACGTAATGGATTTCAGGTTGGTATGGCAGAGCAGCGAAACGGATGGTATAGCTTAAAATTATTCGATTAATTAATAATTATGAATAATTCATGTAGATGCGATGATAAATATGTGTAAGAGTATGTGAAATAAGGTAGAGAATAATGTGAATATTTGCTCACGTCCATATTGCAATCGGGGAGAGAGAGAGAGAGATGTAGAGAGAGGAGAGAGAGAAAGAGAGGAGATGAAAGGAGAGAGGGGAGAGAGAAGAGAGAGAGAGGACGAGAAGGAGAAGAGAGAGGAGAAAGAGGAGAGAGAGAGAGAGAGAGAGAGAGAAAGAGAGGAGAGAGAAGAAAGGCAGAGAGAAAGAGAGAGAGAGAGAGAGAGAGAGGCGCGAGCCGGCGCACAGGCGGGAGACAGAGAAGAGAAGGAGAGAGAGAGAAGAGAGAGAGAGAGAAGAGAGAGAAAAAGAGAGAAGAGAGAGAAGAAGGAGAGAGAGAGGAGAGGAAGAGAGGAGAGAGCGCGCGCGCACGACGGAGAGAGAGAGAGAGAGAGAGAGAGAGGGGGGGGGAAGAGAGCGCGAGAGGGAGAGGAGAGCGCGGCGCCACGAAGAAGAGAGGAAAGAGAGAGAGACCGTGTAGTAAAATGTGAAAGTTCGCAGTCTGACGTCAAACTATAGGCAATTATAGAAGAGCACATGGCAACAATATACAGTAATAGCCGGGAAAGACTAAACTAATGTATTACACGCTGTGATATTTCCCTGCAGAATATGATTTGCACACTGAAAGCAGCGGTTATTGGTATTCAATTCTTTTTCGATAATTTAGGGTTTTATTTACGTATATAATATAGACACAATAGAATTATTCAGGCAGTCACGCGGAGCTCGCGGTCATGCTAAAGTCGACAGATTTTCCAGCGATTCTGGACTATGAAACGACGTTATTGTACTCCGTTACATTAATGTATATTTACAGACGCATGCGCATGAATATCTGTCCTACTATTGTATGTACCGTATGTCGCGTGTGTATGTGAATATGCGAGTATTACGTGATCACAAATCAATTGATTATTCAATTCTCGCCTAATCTCTCTTTAATAATTAATCGAATACAAAATTATTCAATAATTAAGTGATCTAATCAGCGTACCAGTCATCTCACATTCCGTACCAAAAGTATGCGCCGCTTTTTGATTAAGTCCGAACGAATTTACGAATTACAATTATGATTATATTCTATTATGAATATTCGAATATACTCGTGAAGATGAGCGTACGTGTGCATTAATGCGTAGTTGTGGTAAACAATCGGATGGCGGCGAGAACGGAGTAACACAACGAATTCAAACAGACGCAAACGATTAAAATGTGCGCTAGAATACAGTTAACAAACTAATTAAATATAAT